GGAATTGTCTCTTTCAAGCTGCAAAGTGAATTTCCAATATGTTTTTTGTCTCAGTGTACACTGGAGGTGTGCAGGAAAAGCGTGATGTGGTACAAGGTTCAGAGTTAACCAGGCAGACCTAGCTCTGTGACCTGGCCTTGGGTTCCTTCTGCAGCTGCCTAGATGTACCTGTGCCCAGTGCCTTCGGAAAAGTAACTGTGTGGCAGTGTTTCAGTAAGCTGCTGCTCATGCTTGTCACATCTCCAGAATCAGGTTAAAATTAAAGATTTGAAACTTAATTCCACATCTTCAAATATTTTCATGTCGGTGTCAGTAAGAATAGCATCAACAGCGTTATGTAACAAATGATTATCTGGATTATCTGGAGTACTCTGTCCAGTTCTGGGCTCCCCAGTTCAAGAAAGATGAGGAGCTACTGGAGAGAGTCCAGCGGAGGGCTATGAGTATGGTGAGGGGACAGGAGCATCTCTCCTGTGAGGAGAGGCTGAGGGAGCTGGGCTTGTTCAGCCTGAAGAAGAGAAGGCTGAGAGGGGACCTAATATATACTTTAAAATATCTGAAGGGTGGGTGTCAGGAGGATGGGGCCAGACTCTTTTCAGTGGTGCCCAGCGACAGGACAAGGGGCAATGGGCACAAACTGAAGCACAGGAAGTTCCATCTGAACATGAGGAAGAACTTCTTCCCTCTGAGGGTGACGGAGCACTGGAACAGTCTGCCCAGGGAGGTTGTGGAGTCTCCTTCTCTGGAGATATTCAAGACCCGCCTGGCTGCGGTCCTGTGCAGCCTGCTGTAGGTGACCCGGCTTTGGCAGGGGGGTTGGACTAGGTGACCCACAGAGGTCCCTTCCAACCCCTACCATTCTGTGATTCTGTGATTAGTGCTGGAAAACAACATGCAGGAATTTCACATTCACAGGAATCCTAATATGCAAGAAGTCATTTATTTATCATTTTTACGTCACACCAGACAAAACCCAAAGGTTTTCAAAGTTCTGTGATAAATTTGCTACGGTTTTAAAGTGGTCCTGAAGCCTGGGTGATAATTTTTTTATGGATTTTGGATTTTCACTGCTGGCAATTGGTGGAAACTTTCTCTGGTTAGCAGAGATGATAGAAAAGCAAGTTTGGAAAACAACTGCAGTAAAGCTGTTTTTTCAATAAAGTCATCCAATTTGTTAAGCTCCTCACGTAATGTTGTTTGCTATTTTTAGGGGTTTTTTAACATTAAATCATAATGTTGGCATAAGCTATCACCACTGTGTATGAGCTTTACAAGTTAAGCACATGGTGGTTGATGCTGCAGGATAACCTAGTATCTGTCAGTCTGTGCTAATAGTCCAAAGCAATTGCTACTCCTGCTCAGAAAGGAATAAGCCAACTGCTTGGCCTTGCAATTCTGCCTGTTACATTTTAACTTTGCTATGTTGTCTCATGCTCTTTTTCTGGAATTTACTTGTCCACTTCTGCCTCTTGTGCAGAGGATGTGGACAACAGGGCAGGGAACATATTTCTTGAAGGTCATTGCAATAAAACAGAATCATCGTGGGAACACAGAGGTCAGGAGCAGACCTCTAGTCCAACTTTCTGCTTGTAGCTTGACAACAGCATATGAGGTCAGCTATGTCTTTGCTTAGCCACTACTTGAAAATCTCCAAGGACGGTAATTCCAAATCCTTCCCGGGTAACCAGCTTTAGTGCTTCACTATCTACCTGTGCAGAAATTAGTGGTGGATATTTCTCAGTCCACTTCTCACTATGCAAAGTGGTAAAACAAGACCCATGAACAAAAGTTCCTGCATGGCAGGTTGAGATTAGACAACCTGTAACTCCCTGGAAGGAATTGTAGGCTGCAATTAGAAACTCGAGGAGCAGCATCAAAGCTGCACTGGAAACAATGCAGCGAAGGAGAGTAGAGTGACCAAGCAACAAACAACTGCACAGATTTTAGAACAGGGCAAGTGTTTTGTTTTTGTTTTTGTTTTCCCCAAATTGGATAGAGTAGCAAATTCCTGTTCTGAAAAATAACAACAACAACAAAGTCAGTTATGAAACTAATTTCCTTCAGAATATACATGTTGAAGTTAGAACCAATCCCTTGAATATCAACTAAGAGCCTTGGTATTCAAGGCTGGATTTCAGTAGTTTACCTTGGTAGGCTGTTTTTCATGCTATGGTGGAAGCTACCTGACACATGAATGCCCAGCCTTTCCTATAATGTCAGGTATATTCTGTTCCGCAGCTGTTGAATACAGAAGTACAGGACATCATTTTGCTAGCTCTGTAACACCCACTTCAACTTAAAGAATGGGGCATATGGATGCTTCCTAACTGTTTTGAGGTTGTTTACCTCGGGTTGGAGGCCAGCATGGGGACAGAAAGAGAACACTTATAGCAAAATATGTAACTTTATTTTCCTAATGATTGTAATGCTATGAAAAATAGTCTTTATGGCTTGGAAATGTTCATTATTATTGTGACTGGTACTGCCACAAATATTTGTTACTTAAGTCACACATAGTTTAGAATGTATTTCACT